ACTGCATTGCCTGCAATGGAAACAGATCTTCGCAATCTTGGCTGCATTTAAAGAAATGCAAAGCAAGTCAAATGCAAGCCTCCTAATTACACCACTGAGATAAATGGTAACGACCTGTCCTTTGGTGTGTATTGCAAACTAAGGTCTTGGGAAAACAAAACATGTTTTATTTAGTAATATTTTTAGTATATAATCAATGCTTCCTGATAACCAAGGGAGAGGAACAAGAATTTATGGGACTTTTAAAGTGGATAATCTCTCAAAGAAATGTTATTAAACGCATCTGCTAAAATACAATCTTTTATTATCACTTGGCCATTAAACAAACTATGGCTACTGGTAAAATGGCCCTACCATCATTAAAAGCAGAACAAAAAAAAAACATTTTTTTTAATTTCAGAAAACATGATCTTTTTTTGTTGTTTTTGATCTAAAACCCTTCCAAAGCATATTACTTTATCACCCTTCCCCCAAAGATTCAAAATATAGCTGTAACATGCAGAGATCTAGTGATCACAAAATACTCTGTTGAAGCATTAGTTGAAACACGTTGGGATTCAGAACTCGTCCACAGAGGGGTGTTCTAAAAACAGAGCAAACAAAATAAAATCTCTCCTAAAGCCAGCCAGACCATTGATGAAACTCAAGCGTGTCATGTGGGACATTCACAATATAATGGTAAGGACAGCAATAAATCAACCTAGTATTCAGAAGTAAATGTGTATATATTTTCCAAAATTATTTTATCCAAATAAACTTTGGCACATGTAACCGTGGGAACCACATAAGGCTCCAAGGAATGAGTCCACTCAAGGCAAAAGTGCAAAGCTACAGATATCTTCACTAAAAAGAAGAAAAGTATATGATGGCACAAACCAGGTAGTTGGTGGACATCTCTGGGTTATCAAAAGAAATTGGGTACATTTAGAACTTTAGAACCCTACAGAGTGACACTTCAATATATTGAGTACAACTAAAATCAAAAGTATCTAGTAGGAAAAAATTCCGAGTGGTCCATTGAGTTTGCCCCTGTTGTGTGTTTTTTTTTTTTTTGTCTGAGTGTAGATCTTTTATATTTGTCCTAAGCATGTTTGAAGTCATTTACTGTTGGCCTGCTCATTTTCTAAAATTACTTTTGAACTTTCCTCCAGTTTGTCTGAGGTCATGTACCCATGTTCTTGATTTTGATTTCTTAGTGAAAACATCTTCCTCCTGAACCTTATTCACCCCCTTGATGTATTTAATCACTTAAGTATCGGACATTTTCATCCCCTTCCTGCCCAGGCCAATTTTCAGCTTTCAGCCCTGTTGGAATTTGAATGACAATTGCACGGTCATGCAACACTGTACCCGAATGAAATTTCTTTTTTTTTTTCACACAAATAGAACTTTCTTTTGGTGGTATTTTAATCTTCACTGGGTTTTTTATTTTTTGCTAAATAAAGGAAAAAAAGACAGCAATTTTTTTGAAAAAAACAAAAAACTTTTCTTCAGTTCTGTTATAAAAATTTTGCAGATACATAATTGTTCTTCATAAATTTGGGCCAAAATGTATTCTGCTACATTTCTTTGGTGAAAATAACCAAATAGGAATCCCTTGGCCTCAAGAGATAGACCATCAGTAAATCAAGATTGATTTATTTTCAGATATTAATCATAGTTTGTGGACTACTTTACTACAGACTAAATCGTAAACCCTGTTTAGGAATGTAGACAGTCCAAGTTATTTAGTAGAGTAATCGTCATGGTGAGTTTTTTTTTTTTTTTTTTTGAAGTTGTAGTTTTTTTTGTCATTTTTTGGAAAATAAGGAAATTTAAAAAAAAAGTTTCACTTTGATTTACATACTGTCAGCAATGCAGTACAGTGTCACCATCTAACTGGTGTGGCGGTGATCAGCGACACTGACTGGTGACGGTACCGAAAAAATTTTTTTAGAATTTTTTATTGTTTTATTACAATTTTTTTTTTTTTTTTTTTTTAACATATGATTGCTTATAGCAGTAAATTTCCCTGCTATAAGTAAGCATTTTGCTGAATGAATGAATGAATCATTGTGTGTTTTGTTGTGATTAGGTGTGATTGGCCACAACTAATCACATGGTACAGATTGGCTGTGATTGGCCCTGACTATATCATGTGATAACGGTGACCAATCACAGCTAGCAACACAATTGTACTCCATGAATGGCATGAATCGAAGCTATTCATTGCTTACAATTGTCATGTGATTTGCTTTAATTGGTGACAGTGATCATATGGTACTGGCACCGGGCCAATACAGTGATCTGCCATCCGCTGTGTCCGGGGGGGGCACAGCCGGTGACAGATCGCAACCTCGTACGCTGCGCACTCCAGGAGACATCATATGACGTCCCCCTGGAACAACGAAGGTCCTGCCCGGGCGGGAACTGTTTAAAGGTTTCAATCATGTCTCCCCTTTCCCTTCTTTTCTCCAGACTGTACATATTAAGTTTCCAAGTCTTTCCTGATATGTTTTATCCCTCAGACCTTTCGTAATTTTTGTTACCCACCTCTGGACTTGCTTTATCTTATCAATATCATTTTGTAAGTGAGGTCTCCAGAGCTGGACACAGTATTCTAAATGAGGTCTCACTAAAGATCTATGTAGGGGAATCAGGACCTCCTTCCTCCTGCTGGTGACCCCTCTAGTGATGTGTCCTAGAATTCTATTCACTTTCCCCACTGCCTGGCACACTGTTTGCTCATTTTGCAGTCATCTGAAATAATTACCCCTACATCTTTTTACTTTGTAGTGCTGGCCAACACTGTACCAATGTTGTACTTTCTCAAGAAATTATTTTTCCCTAGGTGCATTTTTTTTATATTTAGAAACCCTAAACTGCAGTTTCGACTTTATTGACCAATTTTCCAGCATTGCCAAATCATATTCCACGTTACAGACACCCCCAGGATATCAACCCTCTTACGCATCTTTGTATCATCAGCAAAAAGACATACCGTACCCAACAATCCTTTAGTTATATCACTTACATATAGATTAAATAGAACAGAACCTAGTACAGAGCCTTGGAGTACACCACTAGCTTTAACTATATATATATATATATATATATATATATATATTTTCTCACACTCCAACAAAGTGATGAACGCCACGGGCATCACAACCTAATGAGACTGCACTTACCGGCTGTTGTGACCCCCAAATTATATGAGGGTCAAATGCAGAGGACACTTTTTCCAATCTGTCACATTGGATGGTTAGAGAAATAATCACTACACTACATGTAACCCCCAAATGGTAGGCAGGTTTGCGATGATCAGAAACAGTGTAGTTCTGCTTTAAAAGTGCTTCAGTGACACCAAACTATTCACAAGCATCATAATATGGCCACTAGATCAATGGAGAGATCACTATAGTCCTCAGCAAACCAACCAAAAGCTGCATTGTGCTAGATGCATGTGTGATGACGCTTATTGCATTTCGATGTAATGCCTTCATCCGCTCCTGCGCTTTCTGAACTTATGTGAGGAAAATAAATAAATAATTGTAGTACAAATAAACATTGTGTGTCGTCTAGTCATTGTCACATGTCACATTAGTAACTGTGTTGCTGATATGAAACCGGCAGTGGCACAATTGCCAAGAGGCCACTCACCTCCTATTATTATGTTGATCCTTAGCTGTTAGGACCAGCAAGCTGGCAGCTCCCTTGCATTGTTTTGCTGTGTTTTTTTTTTTTTTTTTTTTTTTTTGCTAGGAGAGCCCATGGTGCACAAAAAACGAAATGCTAAAGTGAACCAAAAAAGGTGCACTGGGGTGTGTTATGTCTCTTCCCAAAAGGATGGACTCCATCATGGCCCCAAGACTCCTGTCGGGGGTAAGGCATACTCAGGTCCACCTAGCCAAAAGGCCTCACAGACCCCACTAAACATGAATGGCAGGAGCCAACCAAACAAGTATTGGGTGAGGGTCTCTCCTGAAAGGAGATACTTCTCCCCCCTCCCCCCCAAAAAAAGGCAGTGGTGGAGGTTACCCAAGGGCCACACATCCTCCCCGGAGACTTCAGTGTAAGCCTGAAGGCTCACAGCTTACCATCTGTGAGTAAAGGAAAACACATCTAAAGTATAGTCACAAAACACGCAGAGTGAATAAATAGCCAAAATAAAAAAGGTGCCAATGTGCAAGACCACTAAGAATACCCATGGATCACCACTCCCAGGGCATACTTGGCTCCCTTACCCTTGGTTAGGCTAGGGTCCCTTGGCTAGGCTAGGATGCTAGGCTAGGCTAGGAGGAGCACCACTCCCGTCAGGAATAACTGGGCCCCTCAGAATCCTCCACACCTGGGAAAAAATTCCCAACCTCCACTTTTATTCAGTATGTGTTTTCTTTCCACGGGGAAGATCCTTTGCTGTTCCCGCACTATCAATCGAGATTCTGCAGTGTTCCAGCCATTTAGGAGCAGTGTCCATTAGTTAAAGTAGAATTTTACTTTAGTGATTCTGCTGTTGGCGAGACGTTTGTTGCTAGCGGCAGAATTGCTAATCTGACATCATTCTTCTAAGACTCTGGTCAAAATGGGTGTTGGTTGGGGTTTGGACAGCAGTAATGATCTGCTGGCATGTACATTTTTAAAGACAAATTAGATGTTAGATTTTGAAAAATATCCTTAGCCAGACACGTGTAAGAGCTGCAGCAATGTTGAGTCATACTACTGAGTCAGAAGCATAATGTATAATGTGATGAGGAAGGTTCAGTAAATGAGAGTAATCAATATAGCCTTCAAGTACACTGGAGCTGATCACTACAACGGCTGTACACACACAGAATAAAGAGTCTGATATTGTGATTCCTAGTAGAAAATCTAGAGAATATAAATAGGCTATGGTGTCTATAGTAACCATTCATATGCTTGATTTAATTTTTGCTTTTAAACTTGACAAATGACAGGTAGAACCTGATTGATGATGTTTTCCAAAGCCCGAGTTTAACAATGATTTTATTTCAAATTAGGAGCCAAGATGATTTCCAGATGGACCCAGACAGTTACAATGGTGCAGTGAGGAAAAAAACTACATATGGTCCCAGGATTACAGTGACTTAGAAATAAAAGTGCCAGTCCCCAAGGATGTTATGAAAGGCAAGCAGGTAACCTGGACTCAATATGAATCGTTACATAATACATAGCCTGTCAATTAAGTGCATATAGATTGGATACATGAAGTAGAGTGTGTTTGGTATGCTGGGCTCCCAGTAGAGGGCATAGTAATACTAATTTAGTAAATATAAAGGGACTAGCTTTATCAGACACAAAAGGAATATGAACAGTCTAAGCGGTCTGTGTGTTACTGCAGTTATTTACATTGAACACGTTCTATTAAAGGACTTGGCGTTTTAAAAGTGACCGCAAGAACAATAGATATTTGTTTCTTATGGCTTTCAAACTGATTCTTGCTTTTATCCTTCCAGAAGTGAAAATGCAGGAAAGTTTAGGCGCTATGAGCAAAATTATTATTCTTTTGGATGCAACTTATAACAAAAATGGAGCAGCAGATGGCGTGCCCTAAAATATATTAGCAATGTTGATTACCCCCCCATTAAAGAGTTGCTTTGCCCCATATGAGGTTATCTTTTGTAAACTGGCTATGCAAAAGATAGTTTAGCAACATGTGAAAATGTTTTAAAAAAATATCAGAGTACATGCTGTTTGAGAGTACTTTCATGTCAGCCAGGTCTGCTGTGGTGTGTTAAATGTTGCATGTTAACCTGCAGTGCATTAAGGCAGCCTATTCATTTGAATGGGCTGCCTAAAGCATCACAACTGACCAAAAATTGTGCATGCAGCATTTTTGGTAGAGCACCGCAACAAATGAATGGCACCACCGTGTGTTACACAACACACTGTTATGAATGGGCCCTGAGACTGAGGTGGCATAGCAGGGAACAATATTTTCCAACACACAGATGACTTCCTTTTTAGTCACAAACAAGTTAACCCCGGTCATTTTTTTTGGTTGTATTGAAGACTTGCTTAAAGTGTTACTAAACCCAGGACCCTGCATTCACTATATCTGGTCTCCCACAGTACATAGAACACGAAAGTGCCATTATTTTAGTGAATAGAAACCGCTAAATTCCTTTTTCTCATCAGCAGTTAGAAGTCTTTTGGCTTCTTTCAGTGACCAGCAGAGCACATTTTAAAGCTTGTAGGAGGAGTTTTCATTCTTCTCTAGGAGGATGCAGAGCCCTTGACCTCTGTCTGGACAGTGCTGATTGGCCCTGTGCTGATCACATGCACTCTCCCAGGAGAAAAAACAAAAACCTCTCTAGCCATGCACACCAAACTGACCATGTGCAGAGTGACTCCACACAATATGTTTTATCAGGAGATAAAGGAGGACACTGGAAAAAGGGGAGGATCAGAGAAGTCAGGATCAAACATCCTTTTTACACAATGCAGAGGATTAACCCCTTATGTTCCACAATGAGTATAACAGGCATGCTGTACTGCATATACAGACTGATTTTACTGTTGTGGGTTTAGTAACCGTTTAGTCAAGCAAGCTGGGCAGGAAAGTGTAGGCTGAACCGATCATATATTCCAACAATCTATACCTTTTTTTTTTTTTTTTTTTTTTTGTGAACCATGACAAATAAAGGGGTTACTTTAACAAATTAAAAAAATATTGGTTTTGCATGGACTGATAAATGACTTTTTGATTTTTGACCAATGTTCTGCATTGCAAATGGAGAAAATATTGTATAGTCCTCATGCTGTGGATGGTGGATATGGCATCTGTACGGAAACTGCTTTGCCCATATTGATCTTGGTACAGATTTTGGACTTGCAAAGTCTCATTTGAACTGTAAATAAAAAGAAAAAAAAACAATTGCAGATATAGTATTCTGTGTAATCTGTAGTTTAAAAGCTTTATAAAGGTTCATCAGTGTATGCCATAGTTGTGTCTCAAACCTTTGTTTCTCTCAAACATTTCCAGGTGTCAGTGGACCTACGGAATACATATATACGCGTGGCAGTGAGGGACAGTCAAGGAGAACGTGTCTTGATAGATGGAAACTTGACTCACAAAATAAATGCAGAGACCTCTTTATGGAGCCTGGAGCCTGGGAAATGTATCTCGGTAATGGGATAGATAAGGGCCCATATGTAACTCATTATTTCCTTGCGCAGGTGCAAGCTTTAAATAGTAGGCACTGTATAGAGCATTCTTAAAGGAAAGCTCCACACAGCTAGTAAAGTAATTACATAAACTGCTAAGCCTTTCCTGGGAAAGTTGCAGGTTTGCAATCCTCAGAAAATTTGGTCAACACACTTTTTTTTTTTTTTCTTTTATTCAGTAGGGGAATCAGGAGTACTATGGGGGTCTAAAGGATTTTTTTTTTTTTTTTAACAGACATTATTTTTTACATTTTATAAACGCAATGCAAAGGTCTTGTGCAGCACATACAAGAAAGCAAAAAGAAGTATAACATCACATAAAAAAAAGATATATAAAAGATATGCAAGCAATCCGCAAAAGAATACATATAGTCCAGGTGGTGGAACATCAATATTTTAAGATGGTCACTTAGGTATCATTGCATAGTATCCTACTATTAAAAATATCCTTCAAGATAACTGAGAGGAGAGGGGGTGGATAGTAAAAGAGAAGAGGGGTAGGTGTTTAGAGAAAAAAGGAGGGAGTGTAAAATAGACCATATCCTTTATAATTTGATACCAGTTGTAAAGCATAGGCTTGGGTAGGATTGAAATTACCAAATAATAAAGGTTATGCCATATCATATTGTTAAACCTCTGGCTTCCACCCAAATGTTATCCAATTTTTCAGGGCAGTTGCATCCCATGTTCATTTAGTTTAAATAAAGACAGAACAGCATTCACAGTGGAACTCCACATTTGAATGGTAGGGAGATTAGACAATTTCCATTTAGAAAGGACTGGTTTCCTGGCTTAGGAGGCAGCATAGAAAAGGAATAACTGCTTATGAGAAATCATAGCAATATTATCACAGACTCCCAGAAGCGTAATCAAGGGGTCCATAGTAATGGTTAACCCATGAATTGCATTAAGATCCCCAAACTACATCATGACAAAACTGTTTTGTATACAGGGACATGTCCAGACCATATGTTTGAATGTACTAACTGCTATTTTACATTTAGGGCATTGTTTGCCAACAGAATTATATATGACCAAGAGTCTCTGGGGAGTATAATAAATTCAGTGTAGAAATTTTAATTGGATGAACATATTTCTGGCCGAGACCATTAGGGGCAGGTATTGTTGCACTCTCACATCCCAGTCAGTGTCAGTTAAAGTCAGGATATCCTGTTCCCAGGAGTGAAATAATTGAGACTCCTTTACACATGAGCTGAAAGTACAAGGACAAAAGTACTCGATCCACATTAATGGAAAATAAAAACTTCACAGAATGAGAGGCAAGGACGGTAGGAGTAGGGAATTGGGCTTGGACTGCAGGTCTCAATTGGAGAAATCTAAACAACATCCAAGTGAGAAGGTGAAATAGAGCTCTCAATAGATCAAAGGTAAGATGACATTCCTCATATGTTTTATGATTTTTATCCAAAACGTTCGGATCAGGTATAGAGTGGAGGTGGGGAATGGTCGCTTTCCCCCACAGAGGCTTGTAGGGGGAAATAGAATCTGCCTCCCCAATATTCACACTTTTTTTTCTTCCAAACCATAACTGGAGTTCTTATAGGAATCATAATACAGGTGAAACTCAAACAAATTAGAATATTGTGCAAAAGTTCATTTATTTCAGTAATGCAACTTAAAAGGTGAAACTAATATATGAGAGAGACTCATTACATGCAAAGCAAGATAGTTCAAGCCGTGATTTGTCATAATTGTGATGATTATGGCTTACAGCTTATGAAAACCCCAAATCCACAATCTCAGAAAATTAGAATATTGTGAAAAGGTGCAATATTCTAGGCTCAAAGTGTCCCACTCTAATCAGATAATTAAGCCATAACACCTGCAAAGGGTTCCTGAGCCTTTAAATGGTCTCTCAGTCTGGTTCAGTAGGAATCACAATCATGGGAAAGACTGCTGACCTGACAGTTGTGCAGAAAACCATCATTGACACCCTCCATAAGCAGGGGAAAGCCTCAAAAGGTAATTGTAAAAGAAGTTAGATGTTCCCAAAGTGCTGTATCAAAGCACATTAATAGAAAGTTATGTGGAAGGGAAAAGTGTGGAAGAAAAAGGTGCACAAGCAGCAGGGATGACCGCAGCCTGGAGAGGATTGTCAGGATAAGGCCATTCAAAAGTGTTGGGGACTTTTACAAGGAGTGGACTGAGGCTGGAGTCAGTGCATCAAGAGCCACCACACACTGGACATGGGCTTCAAATGTCGTATTCCTCTTGTCAAGCCGCTCCTGAATAACAAACGTCAGAAGCGTATTACCTGGGCTAAAGAAAAACAGACCTGGTCTGTTGCTCAGTGGTCCAAAGACCTCTTTTCTGATGAGAGCAACTTTTGCATCTCATTTGGAAACCAAAGACCCAGAGTATGGAGGAAGAATGGAGAGGCACACACTGCAAGATGCTTGAAGTCCAGTGTGAAGTTTCCACAGTCTGTGTTGATTTGGGGAGCCATGTCATCTGCTGGTGTTGGTCCACTGTGCTTCATTAAGTCTAGGGTCAACGCAGCCATCTACCAGGAGATTTTGGAGCACTTCATGCTTCCTTCCGCAGACGAGCTTTATGGGGATGCTGACTTCATTTTCCAGCAGGACTTGGCACCTGCCCACACTGCCAAAAGCACCAAAACCTGGTTTAATGACTGTGGGATTACTGTGCTTGATTGGCCAGCAAACTCGCCTGACCTGAACCCCATAGAGGATCTATGGGGCATTGCCAAGAGAAAGATGAGACATGAGACCGAACAATGCAGAAGAGCTGAAGGCCGCTATTGAAGCATTCTGGTCTTCCATAACATCTCAGCAGTGCCACAGGCTGATAGCTTCCATGCCACGCCGCATTGAGGCAGTAATTGCTGCAAAAGGGGCCCAAACCAAGTACTGAGTACATATACATGCTTATACTTTTCAGAGGTCCGATATTGTTCTATGTACAATCCTTGTTTTATTGATTGCATGTAATATTCTAACTTTCTGAGATTGTGGATTTGGGGTTTTCATGAGCTGTAAGCCATAATCATCACAATTATGACAAATCACGGCTTGAACTATCTTGCTTTGCATGTAATGAGTCTATCTCATATATTAGTTTCACCTTTTGAGTTGCATTACTGAAATAAATTAACTTTTGCACGATATTCTAATTTTTCGAGTTTCACCTGTATTTGGATTAGAGCAGGGACCTCTAAGCACAAGGCTGCCCAAAAGAGTAGTAGGACCCCAGCAATGCAACTTCAAGAGTTACCGCAGGGTTAGCATTTACAGTGGATCTCTGTATTTGAATGGTAGAGGAACAGAAGAATAGCTACCCACACTAAGACAGCAGGGGTGAATTTCCAATAACTACAGTTGTGACCAAAATTATTCAACCCCCACTGAAATTGAGTGTTTTGGCCAGTTTGACATTGCTTTTGATCATTCAGTCATCTTGCTTACATTTACATTAAAGAGGCACTTGTAGGTCAGACAAATATAACATAACAGTTATAATGAAATAACCACAAATGTCTTTTCTGTGCTCACAGCATTATCAGTTTTATTCAACCCCCAAGTGACATTCAATCTTAGTACTTAGTACAGCATCCTTTTACAGTTATAACAGCTTTTAAACGTGAAGCATAGCTTGACACAAGTGTCTTGCAGCGATCTACGGGTATCTTCGCCCATTCTTCATGGGCAAAGGCCTCCAGTTCAGTCACATTCTTAGGCTTGCGCACTGCAACTGCTTTCTTTAAGTCCCACCAGAGGTTCTCAATCGGATTTAAGTCTGGTGACTGCGATGGCCACTCCAAAATGTTCCAGCCTTTCCTCTGCAACCATGCTCTAGTGGACTTGGAGGTATGCTTGGGATCATTGTCCTGTTGAAAGGTCCAACGTCTCCCAAGCCTCAGGTGTGTGACGGACTGCATCACGTTTCCATCCAATATCTCCTGGTACTGAAGAGAATTCATGGTACCTTGCACACGCTGAAGCTTCCCTGTACCTGCAGAAGCAAAACAGCCCCAAAGCATGATTGACCCTCCACCATGCTTCACAGTAGGCAAGGTGTTCTTTTCATCATAGGCCTTGTTCTTCCTCCTCCAAACATAGCGTTGATCCATGGGCCCAAACAGTTCTAATTTTGTTTCATCAGTCCACAGAACACTATCCCACAACTTTTGTGGTTTGTCCACATGGCTTTTGGCATACTGCAGTCGACTCTTCTTATTCTTTGGAGACAGCAAGGGGGTACGCCTGGGAGTTCTGGCACGGAGGCCTTCATTACGCAGTGTGCGTCTTATTGTCTGGGCTGAAACTTCTGTACCCACATCTGACAAATCTTTTCTCAGTTCCTCAGCAGTCACACGGGGACTTCTCTCCACTCTACGCTTCAGGTAGCGCACAGCAGTCGAAGTCAGCATCTTCTTTCTGCCACGACCAGGTAGCGTTTCAACAGTGCCCTTTGCCTTGAATTTGCGAATGATGCTTCCTAAGGTGTCTCTTGGTATGTTTAACATCTTTGCAATCTTCTTATAGCCATTGCCCTTCCTGTGAAGAGAAATCACCTCTTCTCTTGTCTTCCTGGACCATTCTCTTGCCTTCACCATGTTTGTAACCACACCAGTAAATGTCTAGAAGGAGCTGAGTATCACAGTCATTTTAAAGCTGCCTAATTGGTGCTTATTATGCTTGATTGCTGCTCGGTGACATCCACAGGTGTTTTCAATACCTGATGGAAAGCACCTGTATGAACCTCTGTTCTTCAGAGTGGTAGTCTTTAAGGGGTTGAATAATTGTGGCAATGAAGAAACCACATAAGAACCATTTACTACTGTATTACATAAACAATTGATGTCATTTTAGTTGCATTTGGGTAGTTACAACGTCCTTGTAGGATTTGATTCTGAATACAATTCCAAATGTACACTATAGTCCCTAAACCCCTTTACAGCATTGGGGGTTGAATAATTTTGGTCACAACTGTAAGTTTCTAGCAACAAGGTCATTTTTAGCAACAGGGAATCCTGGTGCATCACTCTAAAATGTGGATGAATGTTAAAGACCCGTGCAGGGGAAGGATGTTCCTCTGTATGGAGATTCAAGGGTGTGATTTTTGGTTGAACTGTACCCTTTAAGGAAGAACTCTACAGAGTACAATATGTACACTCTTCCATAGTTAAGCTGTGTAGGTCAAAATGAGGGATGTAAGACAGATATAGCGGAAGAAAGGGTGCATTCTTCTTTGGATGCTCTCCCTGGGACAGTTAATTTGGACTAGGTTCACATCTGTGCGGGTGTTTCCCACTGCAGGTTCACACCTGTTGCTGCAGCCACAACCACCAGCACAGAAGAATGCGCAGGATGCACGCAGGTGCCATTAATCCTAATGGCACTCCACACACACTGGATATTGCTCCCACCTTGGAAACCACACTGCTCTTACGATTCCCATGTGGGCTCTGAATTTTAAAGTGCTGCAGGAGCCTTTTCCCTGCATTTCAGGAGGCTTGGCAGCCCATTTAAATGAATGGGCTATTGTGCCCGCACAGCTCACAGAGCTGCATATGTGTGAACCTAGCCTTAAAGTGGTTCTCAAGCCTTAGGGTTGTTTACCTTAATGCATTTTCTATGCAATAAGGTAAAAAACCTGTGCTACATGTGCCCCCCCCCTTATAATTACCTGAGTCCAGCAATGTGCATGAGAGCAGTGGGTCTCCCAGCTCTGTCCCCCCTCACTGGACAAGCGGGAGACCCCAGAAGATTTAGATCAGGGCTGCTCTGTGCAATACCATTGCACAGAGCGGGTGTGCATAAAATGTTTGTTATTGTGACGAAAACAAAAAAACCTCAAAGCCGTGATCCAGGATAAGCAAACATGGTCTTAAAACAAGAGGCATGTATATTATGTGAATCTTGGTGTGCTTTGTGTAGTTCTTACAAATCTGTGCAGTAATTCAGTGTGAATCTTTTCTTCTGTGCAAGAGCTTCCTGTAATAGGACCGGTCACTGCTCTCACTCCTTGTCTAGGGTGACTGATCCTTTTGTGACCATTATGAAATAAAAGTAACTGAAAATATTTGTGCCTGGAGATCAGCTTTAACAAGTGACTTGGTTTTCCTGTGCTCTTAAGAGGAAATTTTATAATTGACAGCATTGCAAGAAAGCAGGTAAAGGTGTGATCCGGCAGCATATTGTAATTTCAGTTGATTCTACTTTTATATTCTCTTTAGTATGTTCTGTAAACATAGGGGTTGATTTTCTAAAGTCAAACAGGCTGTGCACTTTGATTGTTTCACTCTAGAGTATCAAAGTTGGCTTTCCTAGTCTTCACTTGACAATATACTGGAATGTAGCACCCTTGACTTTACAGCTATTGAAAATTATGGAAGAGGGTATTTGAATTGTTCTACCACCACTTTTAGCTTGCAAAAGAAAATCACCACAGAACTACAACCTTTTTTTTTTCCTCCCATAGATCAGTTTGAGCAAATGTGGCGAGTATTGGTGGAATGCAGTCTTGGAGGGGGAGGAAAAAATTGATATAGACAAAATCAACAAAGAGCGCAGTATGGCAACAGTGGATGAGGAGGAGCATGCCGTATTGGATCGACTTACTTTCGATTACCATCAAAAACTGCAGGGGAAACCACAGAGTCATGAAATGGTAAGTTGTAGCAAAGAGTTTCACCATTTAAGGTGAATGCTTTACCCTTACAGCGCAAATCGACAATTTTTTTGTATAGATGGCCTCTGCAGGATTTCATACTTAAGCTGGCCATACACTGTTAGACTTCTTTGTTCAGTGTGTCGTGCAGGTTTAATGAAACAAATCTAACAGATCTATTAATGCTAAACAGCGCAGTTAGACGCTGGTGACACCTGTCAGAGTGCCCAGAGACTACATCTAATTTGATGCAGTCTCTGTTTGGCTGAACATTGTCCAGCAGGCTGCTTTCACAAAAGCTGATTGTACAATCAACTTTTGTTGAACAGAGTGGGCTTGGCAGGACCTACCAGTGAGCAAATTTCTTTATCATACATTTCAGGATACAGGGTTATTTTCATATCCATTACAATAGGGTATTGCTGCCACCTTCAGGTGCTTGGTCTCAAAAAAAAAGACAGGAAATCTCTCAGGCATAAACCCTCCCAGCCAGACCTAGCATCAGATTTTTTTGCGAGTGTCTTAGGTGATTGTTTTTGTCCGTGCAGACTCTGCATGAAAATGGCTAGCTTTTCAAGTTTTCATCTGGGATTAGGAGACTGGCTTTTTCAGATCTGTTGCCTACAGCTTCTGCTGAGAGGAATAATACCCAGACCCCACACTAGACTACCCAGTGGCACCCTGTGCAATGATATTACTTTGAGTAACGACAAGGTGCTATACGGGTCAAGGGCAATGATCGCTAGCTAGGAAGCCGAGTCCCTGAAGACTTTTTTGTGGCACTGGCTCAGCAAGGTGGGTGAAGCTTGGACCCCCTTGTGGGTAGCTTCCCTGATGGTCTCTTATTCTCCTTAGGGACCACAGGGAACCGGAGAGACTAACTGTGGTCTGGCAGAATTATGTGCTATGCCTCTGTGTTTTTCACTGTGTTGAAGCCCCCGGTCCCTCGAGCACTACATAGCAGTAGCAGTGTTAGGGGTGGTCTGGGAGACTTTCCACGCTAAGTGGAGAGAGCGAAACATTTCTTCCTCCCCTGTCTCAGGTCATGGCCAAGATGATGTGCCGTATGGCAGTTGATACCACTGAGGGGCGGAGTATTCACATCGATACAGAGCATTCACAGCCAACACTCAGTGTACGCAGAGGAGTCGGACTACAGGCCGGAGCAAGCATCTTTGTATTGCCTACACATAGCTGTTGTCTTTGGGGGGGAGCTGGATCACTGCCATAGGAGACAGGAGTTTTTCCTTTGGGGGCATACAGTACATTATCCCTTTTTTCAGGGTACCAGCACACTGGTGCTAGTCACACTGGGGCTAGTTTACTAAAACTGCAGAGTGCAAAATCTGGGGCAGCTAGGCATTGTAGCTAAGCAGCTTCTAATTTCAGCTTCTTAATTAAAGCTTTTACAAAAGAACCTGGATGCTGACTGGTTTCTGTGCAGAGCTGCACCAGACTTTGCACTCTCCAGTTTTAGTAAATCAACCCTACTGTGTCTTCTCGGCTGATTTGGACCACTGATTCAACAAGGTTCCAGTAGTTGCTGTCTACAGGCAATGTCTCGGTGATAAAAGGAGAAGATCAAGGGGTTGACAGTTCCCAAAATCTATCATCAGGCATGGAGGAACCTGGATGTAACTCCCATGGCAATATATTCCCTGGGGGTCAGGTAGTTCAGTGTGACTCTGCTTCCCTCCACTTCTGGTCCACTATCTCCAAGCACCATCCCCCAGTTCCTTTGTGTTGCTGGATTGCAAAACCAGCTTTCCAGAATCTTTTCTGGTTTGGACCATCTTAGTTGAAGCCGGAATGTTCCCCCTCTCCTCCTACCTTATTGACAGAGGAGGAATATGCAGAAGAAAATGTGGAGGGAGATGCAGAAGGCTCCTCATCTGAGGAATCCCAGAGTCAAGTTTTACCTCAAACTCAAGGGTCTTTGTGGGTTTTCTTGTGGTCCAGAACAATTTAAAGCTACTGCTGCCTGAGTCCTTTCTCCCAAAGGTTGCAGGATTTAGATAATAGTCTCCACCACAACATCCTCAATATTTTCTGGTACAACATAATATAAAGGATGTACTGTATGTGGATTGGGCTCAAGCTGACAAAGGGATTCATTCCTCCAAATTGAGTTACTCAGCAGTACTCCTTGAAAAGTGAGTTCATTAAGAGTATGCCTATCATAGACCCGTCTGTTTATTATCTAAAGAAGACCCTCACAGATCCAGTGAATGATGTCCCAGTATTTAAACATGCTTCGGACAAATGTCTAGAGACCTTATTTAAAGTCTCCTTTGCTTTTGTAGGGGCAGCCTTACAACCTGAGATTGAGGCTGTAGGAGTGTGTCAAAGCCTTAAGGTTTTGGCCTGTTAAATGATCAGTGGATGCCTTAAAGGACTTCATCTAGCAACTTTCTCAGGTGGGCATCTTGTCAGTGCACAGGTGCAGACTGAAGTGTTGGTCAGCAGAGTTGCCCAGTAAGAAGCATATTGAAAGCTTTCCGTTTCAAAGGGAATGTTTTCTTGGTTATGTTCTGGTTGATTACATCCAGAAGGTAACAGGTTAAGAGTACCCTTTTGCTGCTTAAAAAAAAGTTCAAGCCTGCAGTACCAAAAAATGCCACTACTACTTCCAAAAAGCATTCCTTTTAGTAGGCACGAGCCTCGGGCTTCAAGTCCAAGCCCCATTCCCAGTTTTGCAAGAAAACATAAATACTAAAGCCCTCTAAGCCAGAAGAGAAGTCCACCTCCCAATGAGGGGGCACCCCTATTCGCTGTGGTGGTGGGACATATGCAGGTCTCTTGTGGTTGATTGGGTTAAGGCCACAAGCTTGAATTTCCGAGCCTTCTCCCTCCAGGTAATATGCATTCAAATCTTTCTTTGAGAGCTTGAAAAAGAACAGTCCTTTTTTTTTGCAGATTCAATCACTTACCATCATAAGGAGTGATCGTCCTGGACCAAGAGAGTGAAAAGGTTTCACGGTTTTTACTCAAACTCCTAGATCTCAAGAGACTCAAAGTTTCACCAAGTGCAGAAGTTTCAGGTGGAAATGGTGCATCAGTGGTTGCCCCCCTCCAGCTGGGCAGATTTTCTGGCATCAGTGGAAATCTAGGATGTTTATCTGCACATCCAAATCTTTTCACCTCACCAAAGGTTTCTGCGGCTGTGACGTAAAACCACCACTTTCAGTTTGTGATGCTGCCGTTCAGCCTGTCCACTGCTCTAAGAGTTTTAACTAATGTGTTAGCCCTGGGTTTGTGGCTCATATGTAGTTAGGTTATTCCTGTCATAGGTATCTGGACGACTTGCTTCTGATAGAACAGTCTGCTCTGCTTCTAATGTTCAATGCGAATTGAATGGTGCAGACTCTGAAAAAGATTGGATGGATCCTGAATTTTCAAGAGATGGCGTTTGATATGTAGGTCTGATTTTGGACAAGGTCCAATCAAGAGTTCTCTCACCTCAGGAGAAATGCCTTGCTCTTTGAAGGCAGAGTTGCTTCAAACTCTGACATACCCCTTGATTCGCTTTGAATGGGGGTTCTGGGAAAGGTGGTAGCCTCCTTCAAGGCAGTTTCTTTAGCCCAGTTTTATTTCAGACCCCTCCAACTGAATGTCTTGTCAACATGGGACAGGAGGACACAGTCCTTGGACTTCCTGATGCACTTACACCCTTGAACAAGACTGTCTCTGGACTGGTGTATCTCTTAGAGAATGCTGGAGATGGGAAAATCATTCCTCTGTCCTTGGAGTCCTGATGATGGACACCAGCCTGGTGGGCAGCAAAGGATTTAGTCACTGCCGAAGAGGTCGGGACCCATCAACATCCTGGAATTGAGGATGATTAGTCTTGACCTGGTACATTGGTCAGTAGTGAAGAGCCTCCTTGTAAGGGTTCAGTTGGACAATTGCCACAGCAATGGTGTACATAAATCATCAGGAGGTTCCAGAAGTCAGACTGCTCATTAGGAACCAGATCTCATCCTGTCTTTGACAGACCTTCATGTCCCCACCCTGCCTGCCGTGCACAGAGCAGCAGGGCCAGATCTAGCTGGTCTGATGTGGGCAGGCAGTGAAAAAAAATCAGAGGGGCAGAGGATGGAATATCAGGAGTTCAGCAGGACAGAGGGCAGGGTGTAGTGGGTCAGCAAGGCAGGGGATGGGACGCTAGCAGGTGAGTGTACAGGAGTCAGTAGGGCAGAGGATAGAGGTCAGCAGAGAGATGAAGGGTCAGTAGGGCAGAGGTGGGGTGGTCAGCTGGGGGAGTGTACATGGGTCAGTATGCAGTGTACAGGGGGTCAGCAGGGCAGAGGACATAGCATATGTTTCTAAAGGAGAAGTTAGCCTTTACAAAATATAAAAAATATGTAAGTATCGAAATTATTAACAATACTCATAATGAGTAGTCTGCTGGCTTTACAATGAAAAAGTCAAAACCGCATGACAATATGTGAGCATGACTAGAATTATGAAAGATACGGAGCACCCTGGGACAGAACAGAAAAATAAGTTATGAGGCTGGCCAGTGGGGGGAGGAAGGTCTTAAAGGGGGATTGAAAATAATCTGTGCCTGTTGTATACACGCACACATATACCACAGTCCTACCCACAAAATACTAATTACTGTGCCACAACTGACAGTTTCACAGACACAAACCTCAGGACAAAGAACATTTTTTTTTTTTTTTAATTAAACATTTTTATTACATATGTTTTTATGCACACAAAAAGGATATTTTTGTCTTAGCAACCATACATGGATCAAAACTCATCTGGTTCAGCAGGGCCTGGATGAGTTTCAATCCATGTACTGTATGGGCAGGCTGATTTTACAGAAGTTGATATATCGACTGACTCAGGGCTGGGGAAAGCAATAGGCAGCTTAGGCAGCCGCTTGAGGGTGCCAGGAGGATTGGGGGGTGGGTTAAAATCCAGATGCCTATGAACTGAGCCCAGTATCTGAACCTGTTTGTAGTGATTGCAGATGAGAGGGACTCGGAAGG